GCCCCGACCGTACTTCGTTCCACTCCTGCAGCAGGTTCTTGGTCTTACACCTTCTCCTGGTCCTCCTCCGCCTCCCTTCGAGGGTCCACAGCCTGTCCAGTCCCAGTCACAGCTACAGCCTGCCTCCCCTTTGCCTGCTCCTTCTCCCTACGCTGGTCCGACTGGAGGTCTTACTGAGCGTCGTGAGACTGCGTCTCGTCCTGCGTCGCATGTTCGTCCTGCACGCACTAGTGGTCGCGGTTCGCGTCAGCGTCCTCCTCCTGTCCCTGGCACGCACCGGATGTCTCTGCGTCCGTCCACTGCTCCTCTGCGTGCTCCTTTGCCTTCTCCTCCTCAGTCCTCTCTTCCTGCTCTTGCCGACCCGGAGTCGGACTCTCTTCGTGCTGCCAGTCCCACTGTCACGCGTCTCCTTGCTACTGCTGTCACTGACCCTTCCTTCGAGTCTTGTGCTGCGTCTGCCCTTGTCACTGAGCTTGTCGACTTTGCTGCGCGCTGTCGTCTGGACTACGCTGCTAGTCTTGTCGCTGAGTCTGAGTCTGCCTGTCCTCCTTCCGTCGGGGTTGAGTGTGCCCTAGGCACGGACGTCCTTGAGGACAGGCAGGAGGAGTTCCAGTGTCTGGCCGCCGCTTCACCTCATCTCGCGTCTTTACTGCTCGCCCCTGAGGGAGACCCGGATGCACTAGACATCCCGACTCCGCGCTCTTACGCGGAGGCGATAGAGGGTCCCTACTCCTCTCAGTGGCAGGCAGCTATGGATGCAGAGATGGCTTCCTGGAAGTCCACAGGCACCTACGTTGACGCTGTTCCCCCTCCCTGGGGCGAACATCGTCAGTGGCATGTGGATCTCCAGGGTGAAGCGGCCGCCGGGTTCTCCGCCTGTCTTCAAGGCGCGTTACGTGGCTCGTGGCTTCAGTCAGCGGCAGGGAGTTGACTACTTTCAGACCTTCTCCCCCACCTCGAAGATGACCACTCTTCGGGTACTGCTGCACGATGCTGCTCACCGTGACTACGAGCTGCACTCTCTCGACTTCAGCACTGCTTTCTTGCAGGGTAGCCTGCACGAGGAGATCTGGCTGCGTCGCCCACCTGGCTTCTCTGGGTCTTTCCCTCCTGGTACCCAGTGGAGTCTTCGGCGTCCAGTTTACGGTCTCCGCCAGGCGCCACGTGAGTGGCACGACACACTGAGGACTACGCTTGCGGCACTTGGGTTTGCTCCTTCTACTGCCGACCCGTCGCTGTTTCTGCGCACCGACACCTCTCTGCCGCCGTTCTACATCCTCGTGTACGTCGACGACTTGGTCTTTGCCACAGCTGACACTGCTGGACTCGCCTACGTGAAGTCCGAGCTGCAGAAGAGACACACGTGCACAGACCTGGGTGAACTGCGCAGCTACCTTGGCTTGCAGATCACCCGGGACAGAGCACAGCGCACCATTACCCTGACTCAGTCACATATGGTGCAGCAGGTCCTTCAGCGCTTCGGCTTCACGTACTCCTTGCCTCAGGCCACTCCTCTGCCTACTCGCCACTCGCTCTCAACTCTGCCTTCGGATGAGTCCGTAGAGTCGAGTGGCCCGTATCCAGAGCTTGTTGGCTGCCTCATGTACCTGATGACCTGCACACGACCTGACCTTGCATACCCTCTCAGCATTCTCGCACGCTATGTTGCTCCTGGGAGACACCGACCAGAGCACATGGCTGCAGCGAAGAGGGTGTTGCGCTACTTGTGCAGTACGCCGGGCATGGGGCTAGTGCTTGGAGGGCGCAGTCCAGTGGTCCTCACTGGGCACGCGGACGCTTCTTGGGCTGACGACCAGGCTACGCAGCGGTCGTCACAGGGTTACATCTTCGGCCTTGGTTCCGGCTCTGTTTCGTGGCGGGCTACTCGCTCGTCTTCTGTTCTCGGCTCCAGCTGTGAGGCTGAGATCTACGCCGGGGCTATGGCTGCTCAGGAGCTTCGCTGGCTCACCTACCTGCTGACCGACCTTGGAGAGCCGCCTCGTTCTCCTCCAGTCCTGTACGTAGACAACAAGGCCATGCTGGCCTTGTGTCGAGAGCAGCGTCTGGAGCACAGGACAAAGCACATTGCTCTCCGCTACTTTCTTGCTCGTGAGCTACAGCAGCGTGGACAGTTGCGACTTGCGTACGTGGCCTCTGAGGCCAACACTGCTGATGTCTTCACCAAGGCACTTACGCCTTGTGATCATCAGCGTTGCTGCACGCAGCTAGGTCTTGTGCCTGTCTTGCCTCACTTGCTCACTTCTTGACCTTGTTTGTACCTTGACCTATATATACTCTTGCTCTTGTTTGCTTGACTCTTGTATATCTCTATATATGATCTTGCATGTGAACTGGCCTTGTGGCCCTTGAATTTGTACTCGGAATGTGTGGTGACTTTGTGATCCACCCTGAGCTTTGCTTGCTTTGCTTGACTGGTCTTGTGACCCCTTGTTCTCCCCCACTTTGCCTATGGGGGTGTGTCAGAACATTATAGCTTACTTATTTGTGTAGGCTATAGTGGGGTATCCCATAGGGGATACAACCCAATTAGGGTTTCATATTTGTACTCACTTCATTCATAGTTCATTCATTCTCGTTCACTTCTTCTCATGATTTTCACAAAAGTCGTTGCTGCCATCGGGGCCGTCGTCGTCGCTGCTGCACGTGGTGGTACTGCACGCGACTGTTGTGGCGACTGTTCCTGTTGCGCCTGCCTCGCTTCGTCCGCATCCATCTCGCCTTTTAGCTCGCTCTAGACCCGCTCATCTGGTGTAGTGCTGCTACTTGCGTCGTCCACGACAGGCGACTCCTGGCGCGCTTCACCACGCGCCTGGTGTAGTTCGGCGTTTTCTTCCGTAGACGCTCCATCTCTGAAGTCATACCCTGCAAGTTGGCCTGCATCGCACGAAACTGTTGCATGAACTCGTTGAACTCGACCTGCTCCATGTGCCTCAGGCTTCGTCGAACGGGCAGGGGGTGGCTCGCGATTTTTCTGACTTCTGTGAAGGCGTTAATGCTATCGTAGTCGGAGTGGAATAATCAGATCTATTCCACGGGCCGACCGCTTAACAGCCCACCAAGTCTATCACTCCCCTTCTTCAAACTACCCCGGAAACGCGAGGGTAACCTAGGACTTTAGGCTCTGATACCAAGTGTTATAAGTTGTGAAAGGAAAGAGTGCGCAGAACTCAATAGTGCGGAAGTGATTACAACGTCTGAACGAACAACGAGGCCTAGGCATAATATAGCAAGGTTAGCTAGGCCAAGGTCACGGGGTCGCGAGATGGTTGGGTGCAGGTTCGGGGTTGGAAAACCCGAAAGCGACGCGGTGGTGGCTCGGAAGGCGAGGTCGGCGGGCCGAGCCTGGTTTTCCGAAAGTCGGAGTTGTACGCGTACAGTGTGACCCAGTAAGGAATCCGGAAAATTCCTTACAAACATTGTGGTGTACTTATATTTCGTTATGAAATATTCCAGAAGGGTACAACACGAACTAAAAATCATAAACAAAATCTAAACCCAACGCAATGGAACTGACATCGACGGGCAAGAACCTGCGTCTTCTGATCGCGTTGCAGTTCTAACCTTCCCAGGCCTGTGCAGATTACGACACAAGACATTTTTGGCACATCTTGAAATGTACCGCATAACCGCCTGAAGACAAAAATGTCCCGAAAGTGTCTTTCAAGATATGTTTCGGGACGGATTGAGGACCACGCAATTTTGGGATGGGCCATTTGCGAATCGCGAAACACCACCGTCAAGCCAGCATGATGCATCGCGTCGTGCCTCGTGTCGTTTGCATTCTGCATACATCGTGCGTCCTGCATACTACTCCGCGTCTTAAAGCCATGCATCGTGCCTTCGACACGCCCTACACCCTTCCACTCACACTTCCACTCGCCACGCCCACCCACACGTCTTCTACTATGCCGCAGCGCATGTTGAGACTCACCGGAGGTACAGCTTGGCAATCCGATGAGGTCCCAACATGCGCTGCGGCTTGTCAAGATTTTCCAGTCTCGAGATGCGCTTCGGCTTAGCAAACATGCGTCTCGAGATTCTAGTACAGTCTCGAAATAATGCACGCTATCCCACCTGCTGCTCTCTCAAAAGTCGCCGCAGCGGTGACTACCGCTACGAGTGCGCTTGCGTCGCGGGTTGAACAGCAAAACGAACGATTAGACGATATTGAAGCGGTTGGGAGGCACTTCGCTCCTCTGAAGGATTTCCCGCGCGGCCTGAACCCTGAGTGTCTTACAGCATGGATTTTAATCAGCCTGGTTCATCTTATTCAGCTGACTCCGTTTTTCACGGCAAGGTTCCGTCCCCTCTTGGAGAATTTCCAGGCGAGTCTCTGTCTCACAAAATAGATCCTCGTCTTCGTGCTCACAGCCAGGCTCCTCCCGTTGCTGGAGCAGCAGCAAGAGCTTCTGCTTTTCAGGCCCCTGAAACAGTTGCCGCAGGGAAAGCAGAGAGACAGCAGTAGGAGCTGAAGAACGATCAGAGACTGATGAAGGCATTCAGGCTGAAGGGCAAACCTTAACACCGAAGAATGGTTACAGTCACGATTAAAGTTAGAATTCCCCTCTGTGGAGGCATCTGTTACAGGGGAGGATTCTGGCAGAGGTGAAGGGATTATTGGTGAGGGCGCCTCACCAGAAGACTCAAGGTCACTCAGAGACCCAAGGGTATCCCTCTCAGGAGACATCTGCTTCAGGGGAGGATTCTGGTGGAGGGGGAGGGACTGTTGTTGAGGCGCCTCACAACAAGACTGGAGCACACTCACAGACCCAAGGTTATTCCCCTGTGAAGATATCTGTTCAGGGGAGGAATACGGTGGAGGGGAAGGGCCGGGAGATATGAAGCGGAGAAGAGACGGGAGGGAGGATGTTGGGCGGGAGGAGAAGAGGAGAGAGGAGAGTGGGGAGTGAGGAGAGTGGGGAGTGAGGAGGGGAGTCGGGAGGGATTGGGAAGGAAGAAAGGGGGACGGCGCTTGGGCATTACTCAAGAGGACTACCAGCACAGCAGATGTCCTCCCCCACAGCTGACGCTTCATCGCAGCTTTGGAGAGCGCTGGGGTGGAGATGCGGCAAGAGGAGGAGGAGGTGAAGGGGGATGGAGGGGTGGTCAGCTGCTCCCCGCTGGGGGATACGACCAGCAACACCAGATGTCTCCCCCACAGCTGAGTCCTCCCAGCAGTTCTGGAGAGCGCTGGGGGTGAGATGCGGCAAAGAGGCTGTGGAGGAGGAGGAGGTGGGGGAGGGGGAGGGAGAGGTGGACAGCTGTCCCCACCTGGCGGATACGACCAGCAACACCAGATGTCTCCCCCACAGCTGACGCGTGCTCACGGTTCTGAAGAGCGTTGGGCTGGAGACGCAGCAAAGGACGGAGTAAGGAGGAGGGAGAGGCGGACTCTTGGCTCGCCTCAAGAGCACGAGCACGACGAGGAGGAAACCAAGATGTGTTCCCCACGGAGGTTGCCTCACTCCCCGCAGATGCGACGAAAACGGGGACAAAAGTTGCCGTGTGGGCGAAGATTCGGTCTCGAGGTTGCATCACTCCCCGCAGATGCGTGCTGACAGTTTTGAGGAGCACCGGGGCTCAGACGGGTCAGGGGGGCAGAAGAGGAAGAGGGAGAGGCGGACTCTCGGTCTCGCCTCGAGGGGATAACGAGGAACGCCCGGCGTATTCCCCTCAGGGGGTTCAGCACTTCCCATCGATGATTTCCGGCAGTTTCCAAGAGCCTTGGGATGCAGAGGGAGCAAGGGGTGTTGAAGGTGGAAGAGGAGGGGGACTCTTGGGCTCGCCTCTTCGGGATAACAGGGAGCGCCAGACGTATCCGACACAGAGGTTTCAGCACTCCCCGCAGATGATTTCCCGCAGATTCCAAGGGCGTTGGGATGCAGAGGGAGCAAGAAGCGGAGGGGGAGGATGGAGGGAGGTGTGGATGAGTTTTGGGGAGCCGTTGGAAGAAGCTTGGGGAGGTTATGTGGATCTCCTGGGGAGGTTATTGTTGGAGAGCAGCAGGATTACACGTGGTTTGGAGGGGGAGGGAGCAGCAGGGGTGATGCAGCAACTGAAGCAACAGCAGCTGCTGCTGCTGCTCCTGCTGCAGCTGCTCCTGCTGCTGCTCCTGTTGCAGCTGCTCCTGCTGCTGCTCCTGCTGCTGCTGCTGCTGCTGCTGCTGCTGCTGCTGCTGCTGCTGCTGCTGCTGCTGCTGCTGCTGCTGCTGCTGCTGCTGCTGCTGCTGCTGCTGCTGCTGCTGCTGCTGCTGCTGCTGCTGCTGCTGCTGCTGCTGCTGCTGCTGCTGTGTGATATAGCTCCAGCTCCTCGGTTCGACCGGTCCTTCCCCCATACACCATGCACCAGTCGCAGGCGTATCTTTTCTCTGACACAGCTGCGTTTGCAGTTCTGCCTCCTGCCTCCCATGCTGCTGCCAGCAGGAAAACTCCTTCTCCTTCCCATCCTGCCAGCACTCACACGCCCTCTGCTCGTGCATTGGGTTATCGAATACTGATCGTGCATCGGGGGGATATCACCAAGTGGTGTGTTGACGGAGCAAGCGATGCCATTGTGAGTCGTAAAGAGGGTGACTATAAGGGGGATGACTGTAAGGAGGACAGGTGTGACGAGGTTTTCAGCCAGGTGAGATGAAGCAAAGGGTGATGCTATTGTGAGTGCAGGGAGGTGGAACTCACTATAAGGAGGTCCGATATTTGATACAAGCTGGAGTGATTGATTGCCAGCTGGCATGCTGTTGGATTTTGGGGTTACTGCATTGGGGGAGTGTATGTGCTGGCACCATGGGGTTATCCGGGGTCACTTAGGTATGCTCTGGTGAGTGCAAGCGAGGCGAGAGCGAGTTGTAAATGCAAGAGGGTATAACGTGAGCTGGTACAACTCATTTCCTACCAGCCAAACCTGCCCTTCCTCCTGTGTCACCCGCCCTTCCTCCTGCGTGCCCCCACGCAGGTGAATGCGGCAAACGAGTCGGTGCTTGGTGGGGGCGGCCTGGATGGAGGTGAGCGGCAAAAGGGAGAGCGTTAAGGGGATTGGGAGGGAGAGCGGGTAGAAGGCATTAAGGGTGTCTGCTGAGCCGTGTCATCATGTCGACTTACCGACTATGCTGCATAAATGAGGAGTCCGAAGAGGGATTTCATTTCCTTTCCTCTCAGAGGAGTTTTTGAGAATTCTCAAAAAACTCCCTGCAACGTCGACTTACCGACCATGCTGCAAAAATAAGGGTTCGAAGAGGGATTTCCTTTCCGGATTTCCGTTCCTCTCATAGCTCGTCTCTGCTGGCCTCTTTGAACCTCTGCCACGGTACTGCCGTTCCTCGCATCTTATCATCATGTCAACTTGCACGCCTCATTCTCCGCTCTCCCCTCTTCCTCATGTCCCCCCTTCCCCTCTCCAGCCATCCACCAGGCAGCAGGCCCAGCCTCCTGAAGCTCTGCCACGACCTCTTCTTCCTTGTTCCCTCTGTTTACCTCTCATTCTTCTCTCTCCGCTCTCTCTCCTAATTTCCCCTCCCTCGCACCAGCCATCCACCGGGCAGCAGGCCCAGCCTCCTGAAGCTCTGCCACGACCTACCCATGATGAGGAATGGTGATCGGTGCGAAGCAGGGGATGCTGTGACCACAGGGTGAGTGACTGTAGTAATGACTGAGGTGTGGCGTGGAGAGTTTGAGTTGGGTGACTGTAGGAGTAGGAGCATGTTTTCCCAAAGCTCTGCTATGACCTGCCAGTGCGGCGGAGAATGGCGATCCCTGACAAGCAGGGGATGCTGTGACCACAGTGACTGACGAGTTGTAGTGAGTCACTTGTTTAGTGGTTAAACTTACTCTCAAGCTCTCTTCCCTCCTCTTCTCTGTCTCTGCTCCCCACCACTTGTTCATTTCACACTGCAGGGCAGCAAGCCTACCAGTGCGCTATGTAATTCATGCGGTGGGGCCGTGTATTTGACCGAAAGAGTGTCAGCACCCGTGCTTAAGAGGCATACAGGTGTGTGCTGTGCGGTGCTGTGCGGTGTGGTCCTGTGCTGTGCTCTGCCCTGGTGTGTGCACATATTCATGTGGTGGGTCTGCCTACAGGTGTGTGCTGTGCTGTGCTGTCCATGAAGCACACACAGCAAATTGCACCATGTGCATGCTCGTACTCACCCTCACTACTCCCTCCCCTCTCACGCAACCTCTCACTCATGAATCCATCAACCTACCCACTCATCCTCCCATCCTCCCACCCATCCTTGTGTCTACTTCGTTTCTGCTCTCACTCATGCGCAGGAGCATTCTAAGAGAAGCCAACAAGTGCGGTGTCAAGTATATCGCCATCCCCGCAATATCGTGCGCATTTCGGGTACAATCCATCCTCTTTACAAGCACGAGGTTCAATCCTATCCATGATTTCGTCTGCATTTTCTGGTACACTCTTTGATCTAACATCCGTCGTATAAACAGGCTCAAACTTTAATTCATAACTTTTTTCTGCATAATACTCTGCATTTGCCCTTTTTGGTGTGGGTGTGTATCTTTGTGTTATTTATC